AAACTAGCATTACCTGAGTTCATTTCATGTTCATATCTTGTCCAAGTAGTATTTTTGGATCAAAGCCAAGTGTTATAACAGCATCTTTTAATATGAGAGGTTACACAAAGACTGGAACATAAGGCAATCTCTGTATTATGAGGGATCATTTTGGGAAAGAAAGCCTCATTCTATGTTCTGGAACTTTCAGTCTGCTTAAATTGGGCATGTCTGTGTCTCTCTCGCAGAGCTCAGATTTGCAACAGTATTCTCCGTCCCTGTGTCTTACTTGAGCTAGGAGTCACAAAACAGTCAACCTCTGGGGCTGAAAGAGAAACATGCTATAATGCACAAACTATTTATTGTTCCTTTAAGCTGCCTATTTCAGAAGACTTAAAATAAAAAAAAAACACTAGTATAGTTAAACCACTAAATAAAGATAGAGAGTCAAAATCTCTAAGGAAAGGAGAAGAAATAAGTCCTATGACTATCCAGCAAGAAGCACAGGGGAAAATTTTATGCTCCAAAGCAGGATAACAGGAATAGATACTTTTACTAACTAAGAAGCATGCCAAAGGTCCAAAGGTGATATTTTTTTCCCCATTATAAAATTAGCAAAAGACTTCAATGCCTGATTTTTTTAGGAGGAAACTGAAAAGTGGACATTGCCATCAGCATCCATTTTGGAAAATGGAAGAAATATTTTTTAAACAAATGTATGTTACCGCTGCATGAGTGCTATGGGCATTGTAGCATTTAATGTCATGAACAGGTGGGGACACCCAGCAGATAAGGTCATGCAGATAACATTTAGTGATCTAAGGTGACAACAGGAAGAGGGATTTGAGGACCAGGACTCCTGCCATATCTCTGGCCATTCTGCCTGGAGGGGCCAAGCCAGGAATTTCAACCTGGACTTTGGCATGAGCTGGATAGAAGTCAGTTTGGGCTGACTTCTAGTGAAGGCTTGGAATATAAATGTGTTCTGCTGTTGATCAGGAAAAGAGCCATTTGTTTTGGACAACACAAGTGAAGCATTTCCATATTCTCACTGAGGACATTAGGCTTTAACAGATGCTCCTTTAATTGTCTTAACACAGCAGATAAGACAAATGGTAGCCTACTAGAGTCTGGGTGTGTGAAAGGCACGCATGCTGAGACAATGACTTTGAGAATCCCAGGCATGTTAGAGCAAAACGGAATGCGGATGGAGGGACCTAGAAATGATTCTTCCTGCTTCATTGCCATGGATCTAACTGCAACTCCAAAGTGCTAAATTTCTATTAGTAAGAGATTTGGGCCTATGAGATTAAAATGTCATGTTGAAACCCAATCATAGCAAACAAATTCCTAATAATCACAATGATAATGATCTCCATCATCATCATCATAACCTCTTATATTTCTATAGCTTTGTTAATCAAATTGATTTTTATACCTTCTTTCATTTTGGTCTCACTTTAGGGCTGATAGTGATGTTGAATTGATTTACATGCACACCATTGTTTTTAGATAAATAGAACAACAAAAGCTTTAAGTTATTTGATTTGCTCAGCAACAACTGTTACAAGCAAAGTGAACCAGGACTAGAAACCTGGTCTCTTCAGAATCCCAGGCCTTCATATTGCCACTAGGATTTGAAGAACTCAAGGAAACTATATTAGTCTGAAGTTTTTGATATGGATTGAATCACTGTGGAATTATTATGAGAAACTCTTCGGTAGTGGAACAACACTTGTTGTCACAGGTAGGTATCAGAAGAATGTAATATTTCTAAGGTAGTAGAGGGAATGCAAGAAATGATCAAATTGGAATAATAGAATGTTTAGCAAAAAGTGAAATGTAATGGGGATTTGATCTTAGGTTTCTCCTAGAAATCGTAGGAGAGATTTTAAAACAAACACTTCTTCTAAAGGAAAATAGACAACCTTGTGCAAATATTACAATAAGATTTGACTTGTGTACACATGGACTCTCCAACATGCTCATGTACAAGGTATGTGATGACATCATTGAAGTGTTTTGTCCTGGGGCGAAGTTTATTATTACAGGCAAGTTTGTGATAGACTTAAAAGAGTGGACGCATGTCCCTCTCTGCTGGTCAAAGCTGTTGTAAAAGAGCCTGGGCTTTGGAGTCAGGCAGACCTGGGGCTCCTGCTCCACCACTTACTGCTCAGTTAACTTGGACATTTATCCTCTGGCCTCAGTTTTTTAACCCATAAAATGAGATAACAGCATGAACCAGCAAGGTTGTATGAGAATGGAATGAGATAGTGTGAACAAAGTACGTGGCACATCGTGCAGCACCTAGTAGGTGCCCCACAAATGTTCTCCAG